AAAAAAAAAGCCATTAAGAGTGACATACACGAGTGTTCATTTTACGAGTGTAAACAAGTGAGAAGAGTGGTGAGGTCCTATTTTCTTTGTGTTTGTTATTACTCTTGTTTTTGAAGTATGGCAGATGGAAATCATTTGGATGGAACACAAAGACTCTTGTTCGACGCTATTAATGCTCAAATGCAAAGATTATTGAGAGAAAACAATGAAGAGTTGTATGGAAGAATTGAGCGATTAGAGAATCGTGATCATCATGAAGAAGAAAGGAGAGGAAGAAATGGTGGTGCTCCTAGGCAAAACAGAATTGAAGGTGTTAAACTTAATGTTCCTCCATTTAAGGGGAAGAGTGATCCGGAAGCCTATGTGGAATGGGAACTCAAAATAGAACATATTTTCACTTGCAGCAGCGGAGTTCTCGGACTATGCACTCGTGTGGTGGAATAAGTTGAAAAGAGAAAGGTTGAGAAATGAAGAGCCTTTGGTGGAAACATGGGCTGAAATGAAAAGGCTCATGAGGAAACGTTATGTGCTGGCTAGCTATGCTAGAGATGTGAAATTTAAACTTCAAAAATTGTCACAAGGCACCAAAGGAGTTGAAGAGTATTACAAGGAATTGGACTTGCTCAAAGTTTCCATGGTTTAGCAAGTTTTTATAGGAGGTTTGTTAAGGACTTTAGCACCTTGGTAGCACCTCTTAATGAAGTATTAAAGAAACATGTGGTTTTTAAGTGGGGAGAGAAACAAGAGGAAGCCTTTGTTGCTCTTAAGAAAAGGCTAACCAATGCTCCCATTCTTGCCTTACCAAACTTTGCTAAATCTTTTGAAATTGAATGTGTTGCTTTCAATGTTGGGATTGGGGCTGTGTTGTTACAAGAAGGCCATCCAATTGCTTATTTTAGTGAGAAGTTAAGTGGAGCTGCCCTTAATTTTTCCACTTATGATAAGGAATTGTATGCCTTGGTAAGAGCTTTGAAAACATGGCAACACTACCTTTTTCCCAAAGAGTTTGTAATACATAGTGACCATGAGTCCCTAAGGTATTTGAAGGGACAAGGCAAGCTTAACAAGAGGCATGCCAAGTGGGTGGAGTTTTTGGAACAATTTCCCTATGTCATAAAACATAAAAGGGGAAAAGGGAACATTGTGGCTGATGCTTTATCAAGGAGACATATATTGCTTTCCACTCTTGAAACTAAATTGCTTGGATTTGAATCTTTGAAAGAAATGTATGCTTCTGATGAAACTTTTGGTGAAATATATGCTGCATGTGAGAAACTATCTCAATATGGGTATTTTAAGCACAATGGGTTTTTATTTAAAGAAAACAAATTGTGTGTGCCTACATGTTCCATTAGAGAATTGCTTGTTAGTGAATCACATGGTGGTGGTTTGATGGGGCACTTTGGGATTAAAAAGACTTTGGAAATTTTACAAGAACATTTCTTTTGGCCTCATATGAAACGTGATGTGCAAAAATTTTGTGAACATTGTGTTGTGTGCAAAATGGCTAAATCTAAATCATTGCCACATGGATTGTATACTCCTTTACCTACTCCTGAATATCCTTGGATTGACATATCTATGGACTTTGTTTTGGGACTGCCTAGAACAAAGAATGGCAAAGATTTTATTTTCGTGGTTTTTGACAGGTTTTCAAAAATGGCACATTTCATACCTTGCAAAAAGGTAGATGATGCGTGTCATGTGGATGATTTGTTTTTCAAAGAAGTTGTGAGGCTTCATGGTGTGCCAAGGAGTATTGTAAGTGATATGGATGCTAAATTCCTTAGTCATTTTTGGAGGACTTTGTGGGGCAAGTTAGGTACTAAATTATTATTTTCAACAACTTGTCACCCACAAACCGATGGACAAACTGAGGTAGTCAATAGAACTTTGGGGACCTTGCTTAGGACTGTTTTAAAAAAGAATATTAAGTCCTGGGAAGCAAGTTTGCCTCATGTTGAATTTGCATATAATAGGGCTGTCCATAGCACAACAAATTGTTCACCTTTTGAGGTTGTGTATGGTTTTAACCCTTTGACTCCTCTTGATTTATTGCCTATGCCTAACATTTCTGTTTTTAAGCATAAAGAAGGGCAGGCCAAAGCGGACTATGTGAAGAAGTTACACGAACGTGTGAAGGCTCAAATTGAGAAGAAAAATGAGAGCTACGCGAAACATGCTAACAAAGGGCGAAAGAAAGTTGTGTTCCAACCTGGTGATTGGGTTTGGGTACACATGAGGAAGGAAAGATTTCCGGAACAAAGGAAATCAAAGATTTTTCCAAGAGGGATGGTCAATTTCAAGTACTAGAAAGAATAAATGACAATGCTTACAAGATTGAATTGCTCGGTGAGTACAATATTAGTTCCACTTTCAATGTTTCTGATTTATCTCTCTTTGATGTAGATGATGGAGACTTTGATTTGAGGACAAATTCTTCTCAAGAGGGAGGGAATGATGAGGACATGGGCAAGGATTTAGGAGCACTCAAAGGACTTGGAGGACCAATGACTAGGGCAAGGACTAAAAGGGCCAAGGATGCTTTGCAACAAGTTGCGGCCCTTATTCTTGAAGAAATGCCCAATGATGAAGACAAGGCCAAGATGGTGAATTGTATCAAGGATTATGAAGCCTAATTACGAAATAAATAAAGTTTTAAGATTCGGGACGAATCTCCTCAAAGAAGGAGGGTATGATGTGAATCTGATGGGAGCACTCAAAGGACTTGGAGGACCAATGACTAGGGTTTTCTTAGTGGGTGTTTTTAGTACTTGTAATTAGTAAATAAAGGCCTAAAACTCTTGTTAAAGTGGCTGCCAACTCTTGTTTGGGCTGCACCACTTATTGGGCTAGTTATTAGGCAAGTTGTTTTTAGTTAAATAAGGTCCAAAACCTTTGGGATGAATCATCCATGAGGCATACCAAAGGGTGCACGAATTTAGCATAAATTCCCATGTGTTTTTTTTGTTTTGTTCATTAGTGGTCATAATTGTTAGGCTTAGTGGAATTCATTAATTGCCCACTAATGTAAGTGAAAGGTCTTGGTTGTAAGCTTATAAGCTGCCCACTGGGATGAATAAAAGATAGACAAGAATTTGAGTTTTAATAAAAAAAAACTAAGTGAGAGTGATTCTCCAATTGTTCTTGAGTGATTCAAGAATTTGGGCATATCAAAGGATCATCCACAATTCTTTGTGTGAAGCCTTCCTTGGAAGAGTGATTCTTCCTCCATTCCTTTACCGTTTCCTTCCCTCTATTTCTAGCATCTAATTTCCTTACCTACATTCCAGAAATTAAGTCCAAGATTGAACCCAAAAGATCCTTCTTCAACCCTTGTGCAATTGGGAATCTTATCACTTTAATTCTTTAGAAGAGAGAGCCCAAGTTCCCTTACTAACCATAAATCCCTTGACTACTTAATTAACAAAATTGCATTTATAAGAAGGGTTTAAGACAACTAATGAGTCAAGTTTTATCCCTAGATACAAGATCCATTAGGTATTTTTTTTCTGTTCAAGATTATAAAAGATATTTTTCAATACCTAGTGAATCAAATATAAAAATATGGTTGATCGCTCCATAGCAAACATTGAGAAAAGAAACAAAATACTAACATTGAAATGGAAAGATACACACACACACATATTTAGAACAATACAAGTTACATGAGAGTTTAGTTGGTTACATCTAACCCCAACAAAATGGATTTAGCCCCTCATTGTCATGAAGAACAAAAAAAGAAAATAAGATGTATGGTAGAAGATGGAGAGCCAAGAAGAGGATGGGAGGTCTTCAAGTAAGTTCTAGCAACACCCAAAGAGAAACTCATCCAAATAGTGACCCACTCGAAGAATGCCTCTCATCCCTTAAAGACATAGAAAAATAATGAGCCAAAACTACATGATCGAGGTTGTACCCGGTCAAATAAAAACAAGTTAATGTAGTACTAGGAGGCTTTCCTAGGTCGTCTCCCAAGGACCACTCTTTTCTGTCAAAGGTTCAAACACGAAGTGGGGGGGTTTGGTTTAGATTTATCAGTTTAAAACACAATAAAATGCAAAGTAACACAACAAGTAAAGCAGATTGACTCATTGGTCAGATTGTAACTCTCTTATCCCTGGTTCACAAGGGATTACTCTGTCAATAACTTAACCAACTAAGCGAAGATTAACTCAAGACTTCCCTACACGAATTAAGCAAACGTATACAACATTGAACCTCTCCATAGGATTAAGCCAAGTGTGGCATTAAAGACCACCCATTAAGCATGAACACATTAATACAGAGATTTAATGAAGAAGAACCAAGCAGAAAAGAGATACACAATACGAACCCAACCTCAAACAGAGATTACAATCCGAACAAGGAGCCAACCCCAGGGGTTTAGCCTTCCATTAAAACGAAAATGCAGTAGATAAAATGAAGAACAACAGAATCATAAACAGCCAATGAGAAGAAAAGCAAACTGAGAATATGTATTCGCTTCAATATCAAAATGTGAGTCTCTAATACAAGCAAGGAAGCAAAACGTGAAAAGGAAGAAGAAGCAAAACAGAAAAATGGGAAGACAGAATCAAAAATAGAGAAAAACCTAAAGGAAGAAGAAGAGCTAAAACCTAAAACGTGGTCACATAAAATGGTGGCTGCATGGTCCCTACTCTAGGTCCCTAAAAACCCTAGAAAAGTCAAAATGGGCCCTCAATCCAAGTCTGACTCGAAAATACAATAAAATAAACAAAAAATAAAATAAAACAAAATGTTGATGTGGTGCTGATGTGGTGAAGTGGTGCTGACGTGGCATTTATCTCTTAAAGTCCAAAAATAATATCCAAGCCCAAAAATGCTTCACAATTAACCTAAAAATATTTAATAGACAAAAATTAGACCAAGTGAATTGGAATTGATTAAAAATTGAATTAATGGCCCAATGAAGCCCAAATAGTGAAACTGTGCAATTAATAAGCGATTAAGCCCAAATCAACAATTAAAATAAGTACCAAAAGGATAAATAAATAAGGGAAAATAATGACTCTTTGCCAAGAACATGCCTGACGTAAGTAAAGTGGCATCTGGTGCTGATGAATACGGTGATCTCTTTCTAGATTGTGTCGGGCGTAGGTAGAGTGGCACCTGATGTTGGAAGCCTTCCCTTGTTCTTCAACTTCTCTTCTTTGTTGCTTCCAAACACTTTCTCTCAATTGGATTGCTTCTCTAGCTTCCTAACCATATTTTAGACAAAAAATTGGGAATTAGTGATATCATTAAATGATAGAAACCAGTATCCAATTAACTATAGAAAATCATTAAAAGAAGGACTAAACTTGTTAAAAGTTAGAGAAGAGTTGATTTTGTTAATACAAATGGTTAATAACTCTAGGTAAAAATTAACATTATCAACTCCCCCAAACTTAGAACTTTGTTTTTTCTCAAGCAAAAGGTAACTTGACATAGCAAAGTGTTTAATCAGCAAAGGCAGAATAATTGAGAAGGAATTCTCCCAATCACAATAGAATTTCATTCATGCATAATTTTCTTCCACTAATCTCAAGAGAAAATGAGTCTTCCTGCCATGTTTCAGCTATGCTACTTTCATTGCAATCATAACAAGAATGCATGCAATTATTTTGGGAGAAACTAACAACCATGAAAAAAATGTTTCCATTGATCAACTAAAGGAACTATTTCTCACTAGATAATTGTGTTTCACTCAAGCACTCTAGTGTATATATCGATGAGTGTTTGTCTCTCTTCTACCATTGGATCCACACAATTTAACTTTGTTTTTTGTTTCAAAAATGCCAAAAAAATTTCACAAACAAGCAAACATCACAAGGATTTATGGTTGTAATGTAAGGCCAAATATTTTTCTAGTAGTCTTCAAACGCCCAAATTGAGAACTAGCTCCTGCTCCAATTATGCGTGACCTCAGTGGTTGCATACATTGACTATTAATATGGCCCTTGCCATTGTAGTTGAAGCACGTGATCTCCTTGTCAAGGCAGTTATAGTGTTCATGCCTATGTTGCCCACACTTCTTGCATCTACCAACCGGTGTAGAAACAGAGTCTCCTACACTAGCAACACCACTCACAAAAGAGCTTCCAGTAAGAAACTAAATTCCACTGCCTCTAGCGTGATTTCCTTGAAACTTGGTAGAAATGAAGTAAGGCTTACTCTTACTTTAACCACTAAATCTCCCATCATGGACAAAACTACCTCCCTTATAGAAAGGTTGTCATGGTCAAAAATCCTACACTTGTTGATGACCATCAGATAATTATAGATCTCCTAATAGTTGATCGTCGTCTTAACCTCAATATGGAGGCCATTTAGAAATTTAATGCACATAGCCCTTTCACCACCCTCACCATGGTAGTGAGAGAAATAGCGGACAAGCTCATCAAACTTGGCAACATAGTCAACAACAGTACCACCTCTTTACTTCAATTCAAGGAGTTCCACCTCTTTTTGACTCCTCATATCGTCAATAAAATACTTCTCAAGGAAAACCCTATTGAACTTATCCCACCGGAAGTAAGTGTCAAACGTCAACATGAAGGTATCAAGATTCACCTATTGAGCAAAAAGACACTCCATAGCCTTAAATATTTTCTTAATATTAGTCAACCAGATCATCGCCCCTTCTGAGTCATATCCTCCCTCGAAAAAGGGTAGATGGTTATGCTAAAACCATTCCAACTAGCTAGAAGCAACTCCAATGCTATCAGTCTCTATAGCTCTTGCTAGTGCTCAAAGAGCATCAACAATAGCGCGATTATTCCTACTGGCCATAATTTTGATACATAACAACAAACAAATTAACTATGACATCAAATATAACAAATAAATAATTAGAGAACACAGGAAAACATAGATAGACACACAACACACACGTCCAATTTAAATCAACCAAGCTTTAATACCACTAAATGTGACACCCTCTACCCAATATGTCATAGCACATAATATATTAAATAATTGAAAAATCTCAAATATAATAAATAAACTCAAAATCCATACAGGTAGAAAGAATCACATTTTAACATAAACTAGACTCAGCAAAAATAACAAATTACATTGGAAATAAAAATTACTCAAATTAAATCGCATGAATCAAATCCTAACTAGTCCTAACTAATTCCCCAATGTCACGTGTCCTATTAGAACAAAACTTAACATTGAGGTCTAGGCATTATCACCAACACCCTCAACATCATGTTGATGATCACCTGCAATAGCCACAAGAAAAAATGAATGAGAAACATCTTACTCTGGCTTGCGGTGTAGGAATGCAAATCGGCTAGCCAAATACAAACAACACATATAATAAGATATAACATATACACTTACACATTATCTTGTTTAACTCATTCATAGCATAATAAGTAACAACATATAAGATCATAATGCATATGCAATGGACATGAACTACATGTTATCATGAATGTGGCATCAATAAAACATCACACTTGTGCATTGTTGCTAGAAACAAACTAGAGTAGTCTAGGAGTACATGTCAAGTCACACCCTCTGTGCATTTTCACTAGAAGCACATACCATCAGGATTTGGTTGGGATAGTTTAGTCGCACAAGATAGATCTTATGTTCATGGGGGTAGGATTGAGACTTCCAAACC